GCGAGCGCCCCGGGCGGGGCTTATGAGGCCGCGCGCCAGCTCCGCCCTGGCTGCCATTGGCCCCCGAGCCCACGCCCGCGCGCCCATTGGCTGTCGCTGACAGCTCCGCCCCTCCCCTCCACCGGGCCCATCAACATCTCACGGCCCGCCCCCCGCGCGCCTCGATTGGGAGGGGGCGCAGGCGCTGGCCTCGCCTCCCCATTGGCTAACCGGTCGGGACACGCCGGCGCCCACCCACGTGCCCGCTGACCGGCTCCGTTTTCATTGGAAGCGGCGCACGCCAGCCAAGGGAGCCGCTACCAACCCGACGGTGGCTGGGCCTCGGATTGACAAGGGCGCCTCGGGGACCGCCCAACGACCGCACGGGGGCAAGTGAGCATTGGCTTACGGGGTGAGCCCGAGGCGCGGACTGGCTGACGCGAATGCCAATCAGGGCCCGGGCCCCGCCCCGGTTATCAGGCTGCAACTGAGTACGTGAGACCCAGCACAACATCAGCACCAGGCCCTGGAGGCACGCGGAAGGGGTTCGAGACCCGTGGCCGGAACTTGGTTGCAGAGTTCCTCAGTTCATTAAGTCCTGACGTGGGAAACAGCTCTGGTGCAACCCCTTTTGCAAAACAGGAGAACTAAGAACTGGAGAAATAAAAAGTCACGCAGCAAGCGTCCCTCCTCTGCCCCCCCAAAAAGCCAAATTCATTCCCATCACAGTCAACAAAACTTTGCAAACCGGCAAGGCCCACCGGGTAGTTGGGTGCGCTCCCCCGAGTTTCCTAACACGAGGTAGTCCCTAACACCAAGGTTCCAAGCTCAGCTGGGCCCCACACCTCACTGGAACCTCGCTGGGCCTCAGTTTCCCCTGTGAAGTGGATATGATGGTAACACACACACACACACAGCCGACCCCACCGGCCCCTCCCCAAGGGATGTTGCAAGAAAGAGTGGGACGCCACACAGAAAGGGTTTGAGCAGGTGGCTTCACCCGAGTGGGTTCACCACTGTCTTCGTTATTACCACTTGTGCAGTAGGCAAGATTGGGGTGCGCCCCGGGTAGCGGGCAGTCGTGTGAATCGGCAGCAGGGCGTTTCCCAATCATATTTGTGTTATCCACACTGTATCACCCCGGGAGGTCAGGCACCCCGAGTAACCCCCCGGAGCTCACGCCTTCAGCGCCAAAGGTGTTGCTCTACACACCCATCTACAGGGGCCTGGCCAGCTAATCTGTGGCACGGGGCACTCCACAGCACTTCGAACTGTGTAGCAGTTTAACAAGACGGCGGTCTCCAAACACTGTCCTGGAATGATCCCCTACACACATTCGTGAGCAAGCTGCAGAATGGTCCACAATTCGGTGTCCAGTAACCTACGATATGGGGAAGACACACCGAGACCCGAGTCGTGTGGTCTCCAAGAGCACGCATCCGCATCCGAGGCAATGCAGAGAAAGGTCACCGTGGAAGGGAGAAAAGGAAATCTTGAGAGAGGAGAGATCCACGCGGGTAGGAAGGGTAGGCTTCTCCCTCCCCCGCTCCCCCTGCTTGTGTTCCCTCTCACTGTGTCTCTGTCAAGTAAATAAATAAAATCTTTAAAAAAAAAAAAAAAAGGGTAGTCTGTGGGGACTTGAATCTGTTCAGGGAGATTGTCCTTTCTCCTGGGACCATATTCACAGACTCCTCATGTAGTTAAAATTAAACTTTGAAAATGGGAAAGAACAGGGCGCCTGGATGGCTCAGTCGTTAAGCGTCTGCCTTCCGCTCGGGTCATGATTCCAGGGTCCTGGAATCGAGTCCCACATCGGGCTCCCTGCTCCGCGGGAAGCCTGCTTCTCCCTCTCCCACTCCCCCTGCTTGTGTTCCTGCTCTCGCTATTCTGTCAAATAAATAAATAAAATAAAATAAAATAAAAAATGGGAAAGAACATGTGCCCCCAAGGAACTCCCTAAGCAGTGGGAGAGACAAATGGCACTGGATTTTGGTAACACAGTATCCAAGGTGCAAAAATGGAGGTTCCCCCACCCCAAAAAATACACACAGGACTTCTGTTCTCCTGTAAGACAGTGAGTTCCAGGTATTTGGATGACACAGACTCAAAAAATAAAAAAATTTTTTAATTGGAGCACCTAAATAGGTTGTCAACTTATTTTGTCTGGGGAGACTTTTTTTTAATGCCATCTATTATGTAAAAATTGAACATTAACAATTGTACAAGAATCCAGACAGAGGGTGTAGTTGAGGGTTCACCATACAATTCAACTTTTCTGTTTGAAAGTTTGCATAATAAGATTGTTAGGGGAAAAAAGTACAAGCGCTGCCATTTAATTAAAAAAAGGGTCCTATGCGAAGTAGGAAGGACACAGAATTCTCAAATGGGCAAATTCTCCGGGGGATAAATCACCTGGGTTTTCTTCAGGTCTTTGCAGACAGGTGCGAATCTCATGAAAGGCTGGACTGGGAGCCTTGCTGTACCTCTCCCTGAACAAGCCTCGAGCAGCCCAGGGCCGGCTCACTTTAAGATTTTATTTATTGGTTTATGGGGGGGGGGGGCGGAGAATGAATGGCAGGAGGGGCAGAGCGGGAGAGAGAATCTCTCAAGCAGACTCCCACGCCGAGCCCAACGCGGGGCTCACTCTCACGACCTGAGCCGAAACCAAGAGTCTCGCTCAACCAACTGAGCCCCCCAGGCTCCCCAGGAGGAGGAATTCTGACATTCCATTTCGCTTCAAGTATGCATCACTAGACATACATGTAGTAGGTTTCCCATTTTTGAACACAAACACACAAACATGCACACACCAGACCACAGCTCACGTTTGTTTACTAAGGTGCTAGACAAGGTGGTCACTTATAAAATGAACTGAAATGAATAGAAAACCGGGATAAGGCAGTATAATATACAGCACTGTCCTCACTTTGTGTTTAAATTCATATACACCTATGTATGTGCCCTGGCTTTGCCACGTCTTTGGGTAAGTCACTTAACCTCCCTGTGTCTCAACTGCAAGATGGCTAGGAGTCAAAACTATATTGGAGGGCTCTGTTGAGGTCGAACACTGTGGTACCCATACATACAGGTGCACAGCAAGTGTAAATAAAGCCTGACGATGTGAACCAATTTTATAACCTGGAGTGGAGGAAAAGAAGGAACACACTTTACATTAAAAAGTCAACGAGGTGGATTTAAAAAGGCGGTTAATCCAGGAGTGCCTGGGTGGCTCAGTCGGCTGCGTGTCTGCCTTCGGCTCGGGTCACGATCCCAGGACCCTGGGATCGAGCCCCGCATTGGGCTCCCTGCTCAGCGGGAAGTCTGCTTCTCTCTCTCCATCTGCTCCTCCCTGCTCTGCTCCTGTGCTCTCAAATAAATAAAATCTTTAAAAGAAATAAATAAAAAGGTGGTTAATCCATATAATGGAATATTATTCAGCCTTTAAAGGAGTAAAACATGGACAAGCTCAGGGAGGGAACCAGACACGGAAGGCCACACAGTGTGTGATTCCGTGTGCATGAAACGTCCAGAACAGGCTCATCCATGGACAGGAAGGGGGCTTGAAGGTGCGGGGCCTGGGGGTACGGGTGGGGGAGGACTGCTGATGGTGACGGGGTTTCTTTCTAGGGTAATGAGAATGTTCTGTAACTAGAGGCGATGGTTGCTCAACTCTGAACGTACTAAAAACCAGTTAACTGTACGCTTTAAATGGGTGAACTTTAGGGCAATGTGAAGTGCATTTCAATAAAGCTGTTATAGAACAATAAAAACCAAACCCAACCCAACCCTACCAGGAAACAAACATGCCTAATATTGTGATTTTTTTGCATAGCAATTCCAGGTCTGAGTTTTGCTAATTTTTAACAATGACATTGTTCTTAACTTTCCAAATGAGAGAAACATCCAAAAAGCCCACAATCTCAACAAGGAACCCACCCCCATGTGTTCCGTTCCCGGGGTAGGGCCCGCCTGGGGACGTTCGTGGCATTTCCTCTGCTCCTCAGAGCTGGGCATCATTCCTGTTTTTATTTCACACTCACACTTGACATTTCTTTGAGACATAATTCATCTACCGTACAACTGACCCACTCAAGAAGTGTACAACTCAAAGCATTTCGGTACATCCCAGTATGTGTGCAGCCATCAGCAGACCTAGAACATTCTTGTCCACCCCACGAAGCAGCCCCCACCACCCTGCCCCCAGCATGCGTTCAAGGGCACACTTGACACATTTGAAAGGACCCAGAGAGACAGAACTTTTTCCTTGTTACCAAATCAGATCTGCCCACATCATTACTTAACCATCAATAAAAGGTGCAGGCAATAGGTCGATGTGAATAATGGCCTCTGCAGAGCGTAGCTGCTCCCTTCCCTGGAGTCGACCGTTAAACCTGCCTTCTCCTTGGCCTCTGAGCTCTGCGGAGCCAGCATTTCAGGTTGTCAGGACCCTCGCCCCCTTGGTGCCCAAACATCCCCAGGCCTACAGAGACCTCTCCGGGATCATGTGACTCCTGGTTGCTGATTCAGGCCCATCTCCTAATGGAGATCATAGCTGTCTGTTTCCTCAAATATAAATGGGGAACAGTGCCACTCACCTTGGCGAGCATTAAGTGACCCCTGGTTCCAAGCTGGAAGGCTGGATTTGGCCCCTTGGCTCGGGTTTGTGGACCCTGCTAAGGTCAAAGCCTGACGCCTCCTGAGTGGCGCTTAGGGCCACGGCCCGTCACTCTGTCTTCGACCTGTCCTGTCCTCCGAGCAGGACTGATGCCGCCTGCCGGGTCCATGTCCCCAGGCTTTGGAGAAGAGGAACTGAGGTGCCCGGCTGGCGGACCACAAAACACCTCACAAACAGAAGACACAACCCGATCATCTGTAAAAGGCATTTATTCTGAGAATCTAAAATCTGGACAAAGAATACTGAACTTTTTAGAAAGAGCCTACACAGGATTTTGTTGTTTCTTCCTAATACATTAACAAACCTAGTAAGGAGAAAAGAAAAACTTTTAAAACAGTATCGCTCCAGTTTGTCTGCAGTTATGGGATTTAAAATATTCCTGTTCTATTGAGGTAAAAGCTGCAAACTTTGGTAAAGTTAGAAAAAAAAAAAATCAACAAATCATTCCAAAAAAATACAAAACCAAAAAAAGAAAAAACAAAAAAACAAAAAACAAAAACACAACCAAACCCTAAGTTATAGCTTTCTTGGTACATATACAATAACTACAAAAAAATTTCATTCAAAAAAGTACTTAAAAAAAAAAATTCCCCTCTTAAAATTCTCAGTTGGTGAGCTGACAATTCAATTGAAAGGATCCACAGAAATGAAATCACGCCCAAACACTCACCCAGTATCAGGAAGAACTGGCTAGCCCCAGTTTTAAAATCTGGCTGGCGTTTTCAACAATTCAGTGCTAAAAGAGAGCCTCGTGTTTACAACAAAAGAAAGACCCCAAGGCACTTGAACATGGCTTCGAACGTGTGCTTCCATGGTGCTGCAGGTGGGCCGGCCCTTGGCCACACGCCCAGCCACGCGCAGAGCAGTCCGGTGGCGGCAGCAGCCCCCCACGCACCCGGGCAGAGGGCTCTGCGTGCATAACTGCAACACGAAAGCGGACTGGGGGGCATGGCTTCGGGACAGGTGTTTAAACCGGCCGGCCGGGACTTCTCTTCTCGCCACCTTCCCAGTGGGCGACAGCAGGGCCAGGCCCACCCGGGCCACCACCAGGCACCACCTTGCTGGCTTTTAGGCGGCAAAACGCCATCAGGGAGATGCGCTCGCTTTCAACTTCGGGGGCCCAAGCCACACACCTTGAAGAGACGGTTCCAGGCAGCCGGGCGCCTTGTTGCTCGGCGGCGGCGGGAACTTCTGGGAACTTGGCGCTGGGAACACAAGCAGCCTTTGCGCCAAGGCGTTTTTAATTCCATCTTCAGAAAAAATTTGTCTTTTGCTGATAAACTGCAGGCTTGGTATTTTTTTTAAAACCAAAATAAAAACACAGAGAAGTCCAACTTTCTTTGAGCATAATACAAACTCCTGAAAATTTATAGGTTAAAAAAAAACAAAACAAAACCAGGAAGACAAGGCTGTTTAGGGAGTGCAGGAAAAACTACATGTTTAAGTTAAACCCACTAAAAACAAAAGGGGGCAGAGACCCCTGTGACATGTTTTTTAAAAACTGCCGGCGAGAAGTGCTTGAGGATCACCGCCCGCTGCCGTAGCCGGGGAAGAGCTGGTTGAGGATGGCCTGCAGCGGCTGGTTCACCTGCATGGCATAGCTCCGGCCCAGGTCGTAGCGGCAGGCTGGGCAGCTGAACACCTGGGCCCTGAAGGATCTGTCCAGGCAGTCCTGCAAGAGAGGGCTAAGTGAGAAGCACCGTCCCAGCCAGCCACCCATGTCCCCTGGGCGCGGGGTGAGCAACAACCACCGACCCCACGATCCCCCAGCAGGGCGTGAGCAACAATCACCAACTTCTCACAGGGTCCCTGACCCTCGGTCTCACTTTCTACCTCTAGGCTGGCCTCCCTGGGGCTCCCCAAAGGCTCCAAGCCCATTCTGGCCTCCAGGCCTTGGCACTTGTGGCTCATGCCACCTAACGGGTTTGTCCTCTGGCTCTCCTGTCACTCATGCCTCGGCTCAAGTCACCTCCTCAGAGGACCCTTCCCTGATGACCCTAGAATATCAGAAGCAGCCCTCACCCTACTTGTCTTAAAACAGCACCTTCCACCTTCTGGAATCGCCTTGTACTAACGTCCTTGTGTGAAGCAGGCCAGACATTGCCTGCCACTTGGAGAGGTCTTGCTGACCCCGCCAGCACCGAGCACAGGACCCTGACACACACACGTTCAACAAATACGTGCTGAGAAGAAAGGGCGAAAGGAAGGCAGGATCTCTGGCCCCGAGCCAGACTTCTGGGTTCATACACCATTCTGCATGAGAGTTGCAGAAGCAAGCCAGGTGGGAACAGAGCTAAGAGGCAGACAAGCCCTGGACAGCCAGCTTCCCACTCGCAGAAACAGGGAAGACGCCACCTGCATGTGCACACACCTGAAGGATGGCATCAGGCAAGCGGGTGAGGGGGTAAAGGTCAACAAGGTGGAAAGCCTGCCGATGCCACCGCACATCCAGCCACTGGACACAGGCTGTGGCTTCTGCTCCCATTTGTAAAACTCCTCAATCCTTTTTCAATCATCTACAGCCTTGATTCCAGAGACCGAAGGCAGTTCTTTCTACTCAACACAACTAAGATTCAGGTCCACATTCAAAAATCAGGTTCTGGACTGCTGCATTATTCACAAAAGCCGAAAGATGGAAACACCCCAAATGTCCATCCGCGCACTGGAATGTTATTCAGCCATAAAAAGAAAGGGAAAGGGTGCCTGGGTGGTTCAGTCAGTTAAGCATCAGACTCTTGGTCTCAGCTCAGGTCTTGATCTCAGGATTTTGAGTTCAAGCCCAATATTGGGCTCCACACTGGGAATGGAGCCTACTTAAAAAGAAAGGGGGCGAGGAGGACATCCTGACACCTGCCATGACGTGGAGGGACCCCAAGGACACCAGGCTCAGTGAGAGGAGCCAGACCCAGAAGGGCACATCCCACAGGACCCCACTCCCAGGAGGTCCCCAGAGGGTCCCGTCCAGAAAGACAGAGGAGAGGGTGGGAGCCAGGGCTGGGGCAGGGGGTAGGGAGTCCGTGCTTCATGGGGACAGAGTCTCCATGTGGGGAGATGGAAAGTTCTGGAGACAGAGGGTGGGGGTGGCTGCAGGACCGAGTGAGTGGGCTTCATGCCGTGGAGCTGTGCACTGAAAATGGTTACGATGGCAATTTTCACTTTGTAGGTATTTCACTACAATAAGTTTTTTAATAGAGTAAAAACAAAGTCAGGTGTTGGGATACGTAGGCCAAAACCATTTTCCTAGGACGGTTCAGAGGCTGCTGTTCCTGCAGCGACCAGCGACAAACCAAACGCACAGCCCCTTCCCCAGCACCCGCACTGGCTCTGCTGAGACGCTCCGAAGCAGCCTCCCCACAACCCGCCGCAGCTCTAAGGCCTGACCCGCCGGCCCCGCCGTCTGTCCCGTCTCTGCCTGCGTGCTGGCCCAGAAGCTGGCCGGGAGGGTGTTGCCCCCACTCCTCTGCACCAAGGCAACGGGGGCTCAGAGGGCCTGGATGGCTTTCCAAGGCCACACGACTGGGAGGGGCTGAGCCTCTGCTTGGGGCGCGCAGGGCTTCTCTCCCGGGCCACACTGCCAAGGGGACTTAGCGGACCGCATGGCAGGGCAGCAGGGCCCGAGGACAGGAAAGGGAGGGGCCTGACCTGCCACACTGCTTGATGGTCTTGGAGGCCCTCCCCTGGTGGGACAGCTAACACAGGAGCCTGAACCGAGATGACCCCAAGGCAAGAAAGGGAGCCAGTAGCTCAGAGAGCAAGGGTGGCCGGGAGGCAGGGACAGTCCCTTCCACCACAACTGCTTGCCTGCACTGCCCATAAGTTCCTACTGAGCGACTCTAACTAGAAGACACCGCAAAACAGCCATTCCTGCTCACCAGCGCGCCCAACTGCGCAATTCTGCCTCCAGGGGACGTAGGTGGTGTCGGGAACCTCTGCAGCTATCACGACTGGGGGTGATCCTGGCAGGGAGAGCTCACTGCCCACAGAGACTGACCCACCCCAGCGTCAGCACGACTGCAGAGGAGACCTTGGCCACCCCATGTCGCCCCCCCACCCCCAGTCTCTCTTCCAGTCCAGCCCTCCTGATTGACCACCCTCCAGGCCCACCTCCCAGCCCTCGTCCCCTACAGGCCCCAGCTGCTCCGCCCTGCCCGCCTGTCCAGGCTTCTGCAAACGCCATTCTGCCCACCTGAGATGTCACCTCCGCTAGGAAACCCTCCCTCCTGCTCCTCTAGGAGCCAAGCACCTCACACCTCTCCGTCCCAGTCCACAGCATGCTCAATCAACATTTGTTATAATCAGACCTCAGGCTGAGACCGCCACCTATCCTCTCCTGCCCTGGATCCCCAGCCACCTAGGAGCCTGGGAGAAAACGTTCCAGGGGAGGGAGAACCAGAGAATACTCCTAAGGCAGGTAGGCTATGGCCTGCTGGAGGGACAGGCGGAGGGCCAGTGTGCCTTAAAGTCACAGAGAGGTGGGCAGGGTGGCCCAGGTGCTGCATTTTACTCTGCAGCCTGGCAGGGGCACGGGAGGGGGAGGACAGTGTCCTCTGAGCACCCCCCGCCCCCGGCCCACAGCCGCCCCTCTCACCTTGCACACGTTATGCTGGCACACAGTCGTGATGGGACGAAACACCAGCTCCTGGCAGCAGATGCACTGGAACGCCTCCTCCACCTTACTCAGGAACTTCTGGAACTGGAGGAGAGTGCGTGAGAGTGGACCGGACCTCCTCCGACAGGGTCAGAACCGGCGCCCCCACCTGGGGGCCGGAGGCAGCTCTTGCCCCACGTGAGGACAAGAAAACAGAAGCCCAGAGAGGCGGGCCATGCCCAGAGTCACGCCGAGGGGCACCCGCGGCCCAGAGCACACCCGGCTCCGAGTCGAGAGTGGGCTTATCAGTGGCTCTTCCCTCAGTACACCGGTGCCAAGCGCGGCTGCGTGAGGCCTGGGCGTGGGGGCCCATCGGCGGGTAAAACAGAAGAAACCTGGCCCACTTGGAGGGTGGAGGCCAGCGGGGGAGACCGAAGATGAGACAGGTGGGGACAGAAACGTCACGGCAGTGCTGGGGGGAGGACAGCAGGGAGCCGGGGGGGGGTCCCTGGAATGCCAGCGGTCAGGCAGCGCTCTCTGGAGGAGGTGACCTGGAGGACACGCAGCCGGCTAGGTCATGGCCCCCAAGATGCTGCCTCTGAATCCCGGAACTTGTGCATGTCACCTCACGTGGCTCAAGGGACTTCACACAGATGGGATTAAGGGCCCTGAGATGGAACAATACCCTAAGTTACGCAGGAAGCCCACCATGTGAGAGGGACAGAGGGAGGTCTGACCCTCAGAGAAGCCCATGTGACCATGGGGGCACAGTCTGCAACGGTGTGCTGGGCCAGTGACGCAGCACCTCCAGAAACTGGGGAGCCTAGGAGCCTCTGGAAGGAACCGGCCCTGCCCACACCTGTGCTGAGCCCCGAAAGACTCATTTTTGGCCTCTGCCCTCCAGAACTTTGAGAGAAGAAATCGGTGTTGTTCAGAGCCACCAGGTCTGTGGTCATTCGCCACAGGGGCCGCAGGGGACCCCTGCAGGAGCACTGTGCGGGAAGGTACTCAAGGCTGAGGGGACCGTGAGGGCCAAGCCCCGAGACAAGGTAACCAGGACCGAGAGCCCAGGAGAGCGCGTGAGAGTAACAGGCAGACTCCAAGGGGACTGTCCAGAGGGAGGCACAGACAGCCCGTTCCCAGGAGGTATGGGCGGTGGCCAGAGGACACCGAGCAGGCGGCGACCCATCTAGGTCACTCATCCTGCTCAGGGCAGGAGGATCGAAAAAAGACAGGCCTGGTTTAGCCGTTCCGCAGAAAGCTGAGCACAGACGGACCTTATGACCCAGAAGTCCCGTGCCTGGGAGGTCACAGCAGAGGTGCAAGCCAGCCAGCGTCCCCCAACAGGTGCACGGACAAACACGATGCGGTCTACCCACGCGCTGGAATATCACTCGGCCTTAGAAAGGAAGGGACCCTGACACCTGCCACGACGTGGAGGGACCCCGAGGACACCATGCTCAGTGAGAGAAGCCAGACCCAGAGGGACACATCCCGCAGGACCCCACTCCCAGGAGGTCCCAGAGGAGTCCCGTCCACAGAGACAGAGAGGAGACGGTGGGAGCCAGGGCTGGGGCAGGGGGTGGGGAGTCCGTGCTTCATGGGGACAGAGTCTCCGTGTGGGGAGATGGAATGTTCTGGAGACGGAGGGTGGGGTGGTTGCAGAACAGGGTGAGTGTGCTTCATGCCGCTGAGCTACACACTTAGAGACGGTTACGATAGGAAATTATTTCTACATCACCACGTAAACAAAGATGAGGGGAGAGGCCACCCAGGCCGGGTAGGGGTGGGGGCGGCGGGCACTCACCGGCCCGTCTTTGAGTGACTTCAGGATCTCACTCCACAGCTTAGTGTTGCTCTGATCCTCCTTGATGAGGCTGCTCTGCTGGGCCGTGAGGCTGTAGGGCTCTACCTTGCTCTTCTTAGGTGTCCCTCCCGGGGACCCAACACCGGCCTTGCCACCTGCAGGGACAGAGCAGAGGGGGTGAGGGCAGGCGGCCGGACATGCTCACGGGGAGGCCCGGGGAGGCTGCCCGCAGAGACACCCACCTGCGGACTTGCTCTTGCGCTTGCCCTTCCTGGGGGACGTGAAGGCCCCCTCCTCTTCCATCTCCTCCTCCTGCTCCTCGGCCTCTCTCTTGCTGTTCTCCTTCTCCTTCTCCTTCCTGGCCCGGGCCTCCAGGTAGCCTTCTGGGTACTGCAAGAGGGTGGAGTTGGCCGTGAGGAGCAACGGGGGGTCCGGGCGCCCTTCCTGCCCCCGCCCTCTACCCTCACCTCGTTGACAGTCCCTCCCCAGTCCCCACTGTCGCCTCAGAAACTTGGACTCCTTCTCCTGACTCAGCCTCCAGGGGACCTCTGGCAAATAAACCTCTACCCGGCAAACATACAAGAAATAAAAGGGCAAAGGGTGCCATCTGCGCCCAACAAGGGAACAAGGGAATGCACAGAAAATGCTCACCATCAGCTCTAGCAATGAGAGAGTCTAATCATTATCCTTATTCGTTCGTTCAGAGGCAGGCAAGCTTTCCCACGAGGGGCCAAGCCTCAGAGCTCTGCTGTAGCCCGAAAGCGGACAGGGCCCAGAAGGGAATGGATGGGCAAGGCTGGGCCTCCAGAGAACTTCCTTTACAAAGACGCGGCCCCGAGGCCTTGGCTTGCCAACCCAATTTTGAGGAGTCTGCAGGCACTATTTGATGATAACCCCATCTCTGAGGCACCTCCTATTATGTGGGATTTTCCAGTGTGTCACCTAGAAACCATCAGGTGTCTTCAGCAACACGAAGTCACAAATACTCCCACCAGATGCTGGTGGATCCTGTCCCACGACTATTTTTCTCCCCGGTTCCTCAAGCTTCTGAAATTCTCCATGGTGCAAACATCATGTTCAAAAGACAACTTCATGACCCCCTGGGGGAGGCGCTATCTGATTCTCAGTAGCAATTAAGATTCCTTAAATAGTCCCACACTGAGTTATCAGCTGGAAAGAGACTTGCCATAATGAACAGAAACACCGTAATTATGGTGCAGAAAAGGCGCGCCGCGCACCGGGTGAACTCTGGGACGTACAGCTGCCGCGAGGAGGTGAGCGAGGGCTCTGAGGGAGCATTCCTCCCCACATCCCACCGGTTCTGTGGGCTTGCCTGCGCGGGCTTGGAGGAGGCGTGGAGCCTAGCAGAAAGGAAGATCCCGGATTCCACGCGGCTTTCGCACAAACTCCTCCCTGGACACAGCTCTAACAAGGAAGTCTGGCTCTCCGCCCTCCAACTCTGAGTGCAAAGGGGACAACCACCAGCAGCCCACGGCCGAGATCTACTGGCTAAAGAGTCCGAATGCTACAGCCAGCAAGGGGCGACCAGCTCGGTGCCTGGAAATCCTTTAAGATCACAGAGACCCCGGAGGGCTTCTGGCAGAAAGCAGGCTCCCACGACCCCCGGTGACCGGCAGGAAGACGAGGCTCAGAGCAGGCCAGCTCCTGGCCCGGGCTGTGCAGCACGAGGCGGCGGACGGGCCCGAGGGGGGCGAGCGGGGATCCCAGGCCGGAAGCGACAGGCCCGGCCGGGACGCACCTGCATGGTCAGCCCCAGCTTCTTGATCCGGTCCTTCCCTTCCTTCGTCCAGGGGCCAGGTTCAGTGTCGTCCCTCCGCAGGAGGTAGCGCCACACCAGGAAGCCGGACTTGCCCTTCTCTGGCCAGTACCTCACGACCTATGGGGAAGAGCGGTGGAGGTGGGCGCCGCGCGGGGCCGGAGGGCGCCCCGCGAGGGCCCGGCGGGGCAGGCCAGCCACTCACCTTGTAGATGCCGTCGTACCGGTTGCCCTCAGCGGGCGCGTACTTGCTGTGCTTGCGACCCTTCACGTTCCGCACCACCCGCACCGGCTTCCCAGACCGCCAGTCCTTGGCCTCGGCCCCCTTGCGGTCGTTGATGGGGGCACTGCAGTTCAGAGCCAGCGCCCTGTGGGCAGAGCCGGGGCCCCACAAGGTGTAGGCTGGATCGCCTCCCCCCGCCCCCTAGAGGAGAGGGTCCCACTCTCACCCCTAGGACCTGTGACTGTGACCTTCGGAAAGTGAGTGACCGCAGATGGGAGTCAAGTTCAGAGGAGATCGGGGCGGGGGGGGGACTAGTGCGGTGTCCCTATAAGGGCAGTGGAGGCACGGACACACGGGGAGAAGGCCCCGTGAAGGAGGCAGAGGCTGGAGGGACGCGTCCACAAGCCACAGGACACCAGAGACCAGCAGCGGCCACCAGAAGCTGGAAGCGGCAGGGAGGATCCCCCTCCAGAGGTTTCAGAGGGAGCACGGCCGCACCCAGCCCTCGAGGTCAGAGTCTGGGCTCCGGAATTATGCGAGAAGAAGTTCCACACCCCGGGTGGAGGTGTGCGAACCTGGGCAGGGCCATCCCACCAAGGGCCACAGAGGCCCGGGACAAGCAGACCGGGGCTCAGGCTCAGCACCTCCTTCAGGACGACTGCGGAGGTGTGTGCCCCCCGGTACCCCTAATGTGAGCTCGGGGCAGTCCTCACGTCGGCCAGTGCTTCCCTACCGAGGGCTTTTAACAGCTATCGAAATTAAAATATTCCAGGCGCCTGGGTGGCTCAGTTGGTTAAGCGACTGCCTTCGGCTCAGGTCATGATCCTGGAGTCCCGGGATCGAGTCCCACATCGGGCTCCCTGCTCATCAGGAAGTCTGCTTCTCCCTCTGACCCTCCCCCCTCTCATGTCCTCTCTCTCTCAAATAAATAAATAAATAAAAGAAATTAAAATATTCCACTAGACAAGTCCCTATACACTAACATGAGCTCCCCGCCCCTTTCTATTTCGTGCTCAGTTCTTCTTGCCATTTTAGATAATGATAGAATACCACCACGTATAGAATTTCCATGCCCCCGCATCTCCTGAACACATTCTGAAAGTCGACTCACAGGATCACGGGTAAGAACGTTTTGAAGGCTCTTCACACACAGAGGTAAAGAGCTTTCCAGAAAGACGACGCCCGTCTGTATTTCTACCAACAGTGGGACACTAGCCTGCGTCTTGGCATTTCTCAACATTTTGGAATTTGTGGCCAATTTTATAGGGGAAATAAACAGTATCTCAACATTGCTTCAATTTGTATTTCTTTGATGACCAGAGTCTAACTCAAGTTTTCCTGGTCACTGGAGATCTGCATTGTTCTTGTGAATGATCTGTATGTCCTATATGTCCTCTATGTCCTTTGCTTTTCTCGATTAGTTTTTATTGATTTGCAAAGCTCTTTATATAGAAGAACATAACCATCATAGATCACGTTTGTAGCAGACTCATCCCCCAAATAGTCATCTGCCCGTTCATTTTACATATGGGTTCTATTGACATAACTTATAATATTTAGGTTATCAAATCTCTATCTCTTCCCTTTGGCTTTATGATACTTTTTGTGCTTACAAAGTCCTTCCCCATCCTGCGGTTTGGGGTCAGCAATCTCTGGCCCACTGCTTGGTTTTGTAAACAAAGTTTTATTGGAACACAGGCATGCTCATTCATTCATGTGGGCTCTGAGGCCGCTTTTGTGCTATGCTAGCAGAGCTGAGTGGTTACAACAAAGGCCAGGTGGCCCATAAAGCCAAAAATATTATCTGACCTTTCAGGGGAAAAGTTTTCTTTAACACATCTGAACGACTCACAAGTCTTTAGCAAACAGAAGGGAAGAAACAGATGTTTGTCATCTCTACATTCCATCACACTCTTAACGGGAATCTAATTTCCTGGATGTACACCCCAAAAAAGAACCAACCCCCTCCCCGCGTAGCTGCCAGAGGACGAGGCAGAAGCCTGCTGGTGAAGAAAGAAGAAAACCTGCTTCTGCAAACCTGTTGGTGTTGGTGAGCTTCTGGTCACAAGACTGTTCCGCAGTCCGCTTGTTGCCAGAAAGATCTCGACCACCACTGCCCGTGTACGTGAAAGAGTTCCCGTGGTCCTGAAACAGACAAGCAGGGCAGGCTGAGCCCTCCACACACAGGAGAGGAGAGACGAGACTCAGGCGAAAACAACCCCGCACACACCTGCCAGGAGGTCAACTGTCAAAGACACAGAACGAGGAGAACCCGGGCTGCCACGTGCTAGCAGAAGGAGCGCAAGCTGGCACAGCCCACTACGGCCAACGGCACGGAGGCTCCTCAAAACATTAAAAACAAATTACCATTCGACCCAGCAGCCCCACTTCTGGGTCTATATCCAAAAGAAGTGAAAACAGGGTCTTGAAGAGACGTTTGCACACCCATGTTCACACTAGCATTATTCACAACAGCTAAATGCAGAAACCACCCCATTGTCCATGGATGAACAATACACACAGTGCGGTCCATCCACGCACTGGAATACGATCCAGCCTTAGAACAGAAGGACATCCTGACACCTGCCACGACGTGGAGGGACCCCGAGGACACTGGGCTCAGTGAGAGGAGCCAGACCCAGAGGGACACATCCCGCAGGACCCCACTCCCAGGAGGTCCCCAGAGGAATCCCGTCCACACAGACAGAACGGAGAGGGTGGGAGCCGGGGCTGGGGAAGGGGGTGGGGAGTCCGTGCTTCGTGGGGACAGAGTCCCCGTGTGGGGAGATGGGAAGTTCTGGAGACAGAGGGTGGGGGTGGTCGTACAACAGTGTGAGTGCGCTCAACTGAGCTATGCACTTAGAATTAGTTAAGTGCAAATTTTATGCATATAAAATTATTTTATACACAATTTTTTAAAAGTCTGGAACCGCCCCCCCACACACTCACCACATCATCCTCATATCCCCCAGCCAGGACCAGGGAGTAAGCCCCATCGTTGCTCCGGCCGTGGATGCCCGCCACGTGAGGTCGATGGACCCCCGACTCACTGACCTACAAAAACCACCAGGAAATAAACGGCACCCTTGGAACTGGCTGCCACAGAGCAGCTCAAACCCACCCTCCTTGCTCCCACTTTCAAAGCCAGCGGCCTGACTTTTCTTCCAAATGCATCACACCTGTTACAAGAGCCTCGCCCCCAGACACCCCAAGTCTGAGCCACACCTCGGAAGGAGCTGGCCTGAAGTCCAGCCTTGCCACCTGCCCCCAGGGTGGTCCTCGCCCAGGCGCAGGGGCCTCTGGGAGGCCAGCACCCATCGGCCCAGCCCCAGACCCCAGGAAGTCTGGGGGTACCTGGACTCTGAACCTCCACATGGTGCCCACAGGAATCCCCGGGATGGGTCCGTAGTGGTTGGACGGGACGATGGTGCATTCCTTGGTACGTCCCACGCACGCCATGCCCTGTCCGTCCAGAAACAGAGGGGAGAGCAGGGTGAGCGCATGCAGGGCAGGCAGGGCAGCAGGGGCGCGGGGCGTGGGGCCGCCTCACCTTGCCCCAGTCCCGCTGTGAGGAGGACGTGGCTGACGCCATCTTCGCCTTCTTCTTACTCTCCTTCAGCTTCTCCCCTGCCAGCACCACCTCACTGGCGTCATTCCGACACTCGGGGCAATACCTGGGACAGCAGGGACGTCACCTCTTGCCCACGCCCGCCCCCTCCCCGGGCTCCCTGCCATCCGGCGCGGTCCGGGGAAGGGGGAGCATTTCAGTTTAAATTCACTAATGTGAAGCAGGAAGTCCAGCCCCTCGGTTGCACGGGCCACGTCTGACGTGCTCGGTAGCCACGTGTGCCCTGGTGGGCAACGCTGAGTGAGAACGTTCTACGACGCCAGACGTTCGTCCCTCTCCCACGGGAATTTCACGGCGCCTCCCAGCAATGAGGGTAAATCCAGCTGGGATATGGGACACCCCCGGGGAAACTCGATGGGCAGCGAGGAGGAGCCCGTCCACTCACCACTCGTCCTCCTTGGGGACGCTGCTGAGGGGCGGGCGCAGGCAGTAGATGTGGAAGGCCATGTCACACTCGTCACACATGAGCTGCTTGTCGGGGTCCTGCTTGCCCCCGCACAGGTGACAGGCGCACACCCGGCAGGTCTTGCTCTCATCGTCCTTGCAATGCTTGCACGAAGGCCCGCTCTTCCCTGGACACGGGAGGTGGGGCTCAGCTGCGGCGGGGCCGGCCGAGCAGAGCGGGGACGGGAGCCCCCACCCCACAACCGACGTGGGAGTCAGAAGGGCAGAATCAGAACTCACTTCTCATCGGGTTTTCGACGACGGGGCTCCCCTCGCCCGGGCGCTCAATCTTGAACACCTCGTCCACGAAGATGATGCGACAGTCATTGAGAGAACCACCCCTGTGAGGCAGAAGCCATTAGAACATTCCAGCTGGCCAACCTGCCAAGGCGCCTCAGCGGGGACATGGTCCCCTAACACATTTCTCAGAGCACAGGAACACCTCTGGTTCCATCTAGTTCTATCAGGGCCTCACGCATGCACTGAGCTTCTCCCCTTGCCAGTTCAAGTCCTACTAAGACAAAGACAACATATAAACCACAGTTTCAGTACATGATGCTTCTGAGAGAATCATTTCTAACCTTTCAGCAGGCAACACTGATTAAACAAGGCCCAACACACGAAACCTAAAAGTGAAGTCTGATCAGTCTCCCTCTCTCAGAATGCAAAACTCCTCCAGGGTCAAGTGATCCCCCCCCCCCCCGGCCAGGGATCAATCCCGTATCTCCATCAACAGCATCCAATGGCAAGCCAGTGGGAGTCCCAGACACAT